AAAAATCAGCTGGGCGTGGTAGCGCATGCCTGTAATTCCGGTTACTCGGAAGGCTGAGGTGGAAGGATCGCCGGAGCCCAGCAGGTCAAGGCTGCGGTGGCTGGGAGCGGCCGCTGCACTCCAGTCTGGGCGACAGAGTGAGACTCCAACTCAAAAAAAAAAAAAAAAAGAGTTCAATGAAAAAAGTGTTTACTTGAAGAACAAATACTGTCAAAAAATAGAGAAAGCAGCAGGTTTTCTTTCCTTCCTGCCTTCATTCATTCAACAAATATGTACTGATGTCTGTTTACGTCAGGCACTGGATGAGGCACCAGGGTGACAGCAGTGAACAAAAGAAGCAATAATGAAAGAAAACAAAGGAAGAGAAGATAATGTTCATATTAATGACGAGTACACAAGAGATTTATCAGGAACAATAGGGGGAAACAGCCAACATGAAATAAGGGAACATTTCAATCATACCATACAGGGAATGACATCATTGGGCTGAACTGTTCTGCCTGAGTATTATTCAGTCCTTTTTTTTGTTTCCTTTCTCGCTTCCTTTATTTTAGTTATAATAGAGGAAAGTATGCTATCAAGAAACATTTAATATGGGTATCTGTTAACATTTCAAATAACGCTTTGAGTGGTAGAAATAACACCGTTAACAGTAATAGCTATCACATATTGAGTGCTGACTGACTATGCATCAGGCATTGGTCTAAGCATTTTACACGTAATAACTCAGCTAATCCTCATCATAATCCCATGAGGTAGATGCTGCTGCCATCCCAATTTTATAGATGAAGAAATAGGCTAGGCTCGGTGGCTCAGTCTGTAATTTCAGCACTTTGGGAGGCCGAAACGAGTGGATTGCCTGAGCCTGCGGGTTCGAGACCAGTCCAGCAACTTGCCAAGACCTTATCTCTACAATAAAGTGAAAAATAGCCGGACGAGGTAGCCCACATCTGTAGTTCTGGCTACTTGGAAGGCTGAGGCAGAAGGATCGCCGGAGCCCAGCAGGCCGAGGCTGCGGTGGCTGTGAGTGTGCCACTCCATCCTGGGTGACAGAGTGAGACTCCAACTCAAAAAAAAAAAAAAAGAAAGAAATTGAAGCTCATAAATATTAAGAAATTTACCCAAAGTTTTAATGCCAAAATGTAGAAGATTTAATTAACTGAAATTAGAGTTTGGGTTATTGTTGATTTCACTTAACCTTTGAGTTCCCTTCCTAATGACATTATGGCCAAGGGTATTTTGCAAGTATAAATATACTTGTGAAGAGGAATGTAGACCTCTGAGTTTAGAATGAAAAATTGGAAAAAATCCCTTAAAAATGAAGAGACTTTGGGAGTTAAGTTTTCAAAGTCTATTATGAAAAGTCAAAATCTTAACTGGCATACACATCAACTCTTAAGATAAAAGGGTGGCATTTTTAACTGTCATTCAGTTCTCCATCTCACCTTTTTAAAAAAAAAAGCTACTGTTTTACTTCCTGGCTCCAGCAACACTAAAATGAAAAATAAAGCCACTAAAAACTAAAATTAGGAGAGACGTCCGCTCCATCTCTGCCCCCAGAAAAACAGAAGAATATTTGTTTGGAATTTTGTGTCTGTGTGCTTGTGTAGATTATATCTATGCTAAAATAGAATATGCATTCAAGAATTTTTTTTAAAACGTGATTTTCTCTTACAGGAGACAGCAGCTTTATCTTTCCATTTGAGCACTGGTTTTACACCCTAACATTATAAGGAGTCGAAAACGGTACATATTTTCTAGTATGGGCCATAATAAAATGATAAAATAATAAACTACATTGCTATTCCCATATTCAGTCACTTTGTTGTGCTACCACAGGCCACTTCTAAAATTCAAGAGAAGGGCAGAGATAAGGGACACTTGCAGAGAGAATGTGCATGGACCCCCTTGACCACACTCCTTTCCCAGCCCAAGAGCCTGAACTCTTAAATTCCTAAAGTGTCTCCCACCTTCTTTCTCTGCTCAGATTAGTCTCTCCATTGAGAGTCCTTTCCTCACTTCCTCCAGTTCTTTGCCTGGCTAATTTATTTTACTTCTGATTCAAAACCTCGCTGAGGCACCAGCTAGCCTTGAAATGTTCCCTGAACCTTTTCCTAAGGCAGACTTTATGGTGTTGGATTCAAATCTGAATTTTTATGTTCTTGGTATAGTGCAAATATTTGCTTATTTATTCTCTCCTCCGCTCGACTAATTCATTGTTCAACCAACGTTTTTTGAGCACCCGGTGATCTGCCCACTGTGCTAGGTGGTAGGGAGACAGGGGAAAAAGAAACTCCCAAATACAATTCTGGGAAGATAATAATCTTTCAATGATTATTCATGGAATGAATGAGTGAAATTAGGTTACCACATAAATCATGGAAGGAAGAACACAGGAAGATCAGCAGTCACATGAAAGTGATTCTGTTTTTCCATTTCTCCCATCTCTTGCCTCCCATTGTGTTATGTAACACATTGCTAAAACCCTTTTTTCCTTAAGTTTTTGTTCTCCACCCTCCATTTGTCTTGATTTCAGGAGCTTTGGCACAGGATGGACTTGATTCTAATGCCAGCACTGTCAGTTACTAGCTGTGTGACTCTTGGCTCTTTCTTTAACCTCTCTGAGCTTCAAGTTCTGTGCCTGTGAAACAGAGATGACAAATACCTATAGCATATTTTGTGGAGAGTAAGATTCACACATATAAAGGGCTTAGCACAACACCTGGCTCTAAGAACATCTGCTTTTCCTTTCTTTTGTCTCTCCTCTACTCCCACACCTTATCCTTCCCATAGGATGTCACCAGAGCTGTCATGCCATGCATTATTTCAAGTGAAACATGGAAGTGCATTTTTTAAAATGCATTATTATTTTGATATATTATTATTTTGATGTATATTAAAAGTATGTAATTAGCCATTAAACCTTTGAGTTTTACATAAATTTTTGCTTTGAATATGTAAAAAGTTTTTTTTTTAAGTTTATGTTTTTAAAAATAGGATAAGAAAAAGAGGGAATGGATACATTAGATGTCTGAAACACTAAAGAAATGAACAAAGATAATGCTATGTAAGAAGAAAAACATGCAACACACAAGTCTGTGAGCTGTTATATATATTGCTAATCCTTGGCACATGTTTGTGTGTATGAGCTGACACGTAGCATAGGTGTACTATACATTTCTCAAATATCGCTTATATGAAAAATGCGTCTTAAGGCTGCAAAGGTGTAGAGTCTTTAGCTGCAGGATCATGTCTTTGGTTCTCTTAGGATAGGATTAGTCTGTCAAAGAACAAAAAGTCAACTTTGGGTCCCTAGAAGTCACTTGTTCAGCTCTGCCATGATAAAGTCCAAAGTGAAAGATAATTCTTCATTTACATTATTTAAGAATAATTAAAGCCCAAAAAGAACTTCAAAAATGTTCTGTATTCCCTACACTGTGTATCTCCATTTTCAGACTTATGAAATTGGCATAATGGAATCTAGGTCAAATATTAACATAAAGAAGGCACTTAGTAACATATATGGAGTATAACAATTGCTATTTATTATTATATAAATACATTATTATTATCATCATTAATCTAGTAAATTCCAGCCTCCAGCTCGCCTCTTATCCCAGTGCCTTGAAAGAAAGTTATTTATTCTCTTATACCAGTTTCCCGGTTTTTTGTTATTTTGTGATAAAATCAGACGGATAAAATCTTCCTGTTCCTGAACACATTTGGTGCTCAGGAATTTGGACAGACCAGATATTCTCGTCAGTGTCTCTATTTTTACAGACTTCTACCCTAAACATAGATTTTCTATAGAATTTATTTAGAATTTAAGAGGCTATATCACACACACACACACACACACACACACACACACACACCAATTTCATGAAGTTTTTAAGAGACTTGTTTGCAGTACATCAACACACAAAACAACAGGCTGATTTCCCCCACTCGACTTCCCTACTAGGCCTTGGAAATTGTCATCTGGTGTAGGATGCTCTCTTCACAACACCAGAAGCG